GTTTACCGCTCTGTTAGACGTATTGTTGTGGGTTTATCCTACCTATACTAGTAGCTAGAGTTGCCGTGGGAATTACTACACCACCGCAAGTTGGAGGCGTTGAAGATGGTGAACACCTCCGCCTTCTGACGCGAGACGGAGCGAGTTTTTTTTTTTTGGAATCATCATTGGATTGCTGACTTTCGCGGATTGGAGCTGTGTGATTGATGAATTTGAAGCATGGCGCATATTGAGACATGAGTTGCGTTGAATTTCGGATATGTTTTCGCGGAGCGAGTGCGACCAAGGCCTGGATGAGCCCTTTAGGTTTGGAAGACAAGTTCATGGCGTGCATTCCTTGAATAAGATCGCTACATCCAAACCGCCCCCGTCCTCAAGTGAGTTGACCCAAAGATGGAGTCTAAAATGTCCGTACGAAGGTATCGTGCGCGACGTCCCGCCTCACCTAGGGTTGGATCGCAGACTATTACCGTGTACCCGAAGCCCGCCGAGTTCAGCAACGCCACAAAATTGTTGAAAGTGTCGCTCAAGCCAAGACATTATCGCTCAAGAAAAGTCGTGTCCCAAGAAGCCACGACCAGACCCCTCATGTGAGTCAAAGCAGTCTACAATGACCGAGAAACATAGCGTGATCTCAGATCGACACTGAAGTGTGAAGATGACAGACCTACACCACGTTCAAGCAGCTGCGCCGCTACCGTTCAAGTGAACACGACTTCCAAGGCCAAGGTTGCTGAGCGTGTTCACCACCAAGAACATTCAGTGCGAGGCAAAGACACGCACCTTGAAGGAACGAAAGATCAACCACGCATCTGTCGATGTAAACAAGCCAAGATGTACCACCAGTACACTTAAGCCAAGTCCATGCCGAAGATGATGACCCCAAGATTATGCCCGAAGAACACAGAACAACACAGGACAACACAGAAGAACACAGATGAAGACAGGAGAAGATAGCTTTTACTGAATGCTAGAAGAAAGCATAAGAGACGTAAATCAGGGAGAGTTTTTCTTACCCCTACTGCGCAAGTCGATAGTGCTGCCAGCCAGGAGCCGGGTCCGCTGCTACAAAGGACAAGTGCAGTGCAAA